GTCATGTTACCTAATGGTATCTCACTGACTCTTAGGACTTTGTCACATTGAGGCCCCTAATGTGGGCAATGGTGGGGGAATTTACCAGTCAGTGTGGGGGATCCATCAGGCAGCGTGGGAGACTGTTGTTCCATGCCCCTCATTGCCAGCATTGCCACCTGTGTGGCGTCGCTGACCAGCTTCTCCCCTGTGCTGGCCCTATTACAGGCACCTCTCCCGGCACATCATTTTTACATGCCGGGAAAGCTCCAGCTAGACTCTAATGAAAGCTGGGTAAGTTTATTTCACTTTTTTAAAAGGTTTGGGGGCTTCGGAGGAGGTGGGTAGGGTCTCCAGATGTTCTGCTGGGACATCTGGACACCCACCCGAGAAAAAGTGCACTTTCTAGGGTGGGTGTAGACAACTTCCCACAAACATGCACTTTTTAACATGGGTGCTTGTGGGATAAAAGGTTGTCTAGATCTGCCCTTTCTTAAAGGTGAAGCTGGTACTGGCTGAGTGAAGCTTGGAGTGGGAATAATACTAGGATGGGAGTAGGATGCCAGGTTTCAACTCAGCTACAGCTGAATACTTTCATTATATGTCCCCTAATGTTTCACTGTTGCAAACAGAGACACGTGTGCTTAAATGCACAAACTAGGAGAGGCTGCAGCAGTTTGCCTTTGCCAGTGCCTACTGGGAAGGGTGAGATTTTGCCCACTGTGGAGATAATGTAGCACAAACTCCTTTTGCATCCTGAACTTAATTTGCAACACTTGAAATAAGGTGAGGGAAAAAAAGGAAATAGTGGGAGAAGAAGAGGGAAACTGGGACTTTTAAAAAGTATCTGAAAAAGTGAGATGGCCAAAGTGTAATCGGAACAGTCCCTGTCAAAATAGGGGAAACATTAAAAAACCTTTGAATAAATAAACGAATAAAGTATTATTTATATCCCGCCCCATCTCCTGAAGGGACTCGGAGCAGCTTACAACAAAACAACAACATAAATAATAATAAAATACATAACAAGTCAAACAGTTTAAATAACCAGAAATAAAATGATAAAATGACTTTGCTGGATCATGCCCAAGCCTAGTCTTTTCTAGCACTCTGTTGTCATGGAAGGCAACCAGATTACATTGGGTTATGAGAGGGGGAAAAATAGCTTGATCCCCTTTTATTCTGCACGCTGAAGAATTGTATTCATGTTCCGTATTCAAACCTAAAAGTACCTCCAAACTCTGTAATCTCTTCTACCATTTCTTCCAGAGTTTTCATGCAACATTACAGCCTGCTGGCTATAAACATATTATTTTCTCCTCAATAGAAATCCCACAGGATCTGAGAAGAAAGAACTGGAGTGGCCGCCTTATAACGCTACGCAGCAGAACTTCCTCCATCTTAGCACTGAGCCAGCTCAGGTGATGCCGATATCGCCTGCTCAACACTGTGGTCTTTTTAAAACACATGCTCCAAATCAAAGTGAGGCCAGCCCCATAATATGATGTATGTCTCTGTGGGCCATGATGCTGATGTTTCTGATAAAAATAATTGTGTTGGATTAGCTATCTTTATATTATCATATGTGTTGTAATGGCTTGCCGCTCTCTCATGTTCTTTCGAGAGGGGATCTCGAAATTCTATCAACTACCACCACCTACTAATCTACCCACCAATTTAAGCTGTATCTATACTGTAGTATTAATGCAGTTTAACACTCTTCCCCAAATTAGGCTCAATTTGCTGCATGCCAGTTCCAATATTTCTCAATCAAAACATGCAGAAATATGGGCAGAATCAGATGTCAATTTTATGGCTTCATTGATTGAGGAAGGATGTTTAGGAGAGAGAAAATCCTAAATCTGATATGCCTTCTGTTCATCACTGTCAGTATTGTGCGTGTGGTCTTTCAAAAACAATGGACTTTGTTCCAATTGACTCAAAATTACAGTCTGTTTTCTTATTGGTCCGATTTGTGTTCATTGTTGTCATGTTTTACAGCTCTGATTGCTGCATGATGTATGGCGGGAACTTTAATAAAGCTTTATTGAAGAAAATCTGTCTTTGTTGCTTTGTTGATGTCGTTCTCCCTTCCGCTGGCAGGGGGCTTTCCAGGGGAGGAAATGAATATTGCTCTTTATTTATATAGGATATAAATAAAGAAGAAAAAGGAAATGGTAGGGTTGCTGCATACAGTATATGGCTAAATGCTAACAGGGACAGAGAGAACGCAGAAGTACTCAACACCTTCTTTGCCTCAGTCTTCTCTCTAAAGCAGTGGTTCTCAACCTGGGGTCCCCAGATGTTTTTGGCCTACAACTCCCAGACATCCCAGTCAGTTTACCAGCTGTTAGGATTTCTGGGAGTTGAAGGCCAAAAACATCTGGGGACCCCAGGTTGAGAACCACTGCTCTAAAGGTTATTAGTGCTCCACTTGGAGAAGAGGATGCAGTAGAGCAGTGGTTCTCGACCTGTGGATCCCCAGGTGCTTTGGCCTTCAACTTCCCAAAATCTAACAGCTGGTAAACTGGCTGGGATTTCTGGGAGTTGTAGGCCAAACACTCTGAGACCCACAAGTTGAGAACCACTGCAGTAGAGGAAATAGAGTATGGAATAGTTAAAGGGGCAGTACAGAAATATTTGGTCTCCAGGACCAGGTGAACTACATCCAAGGAGTTAAAAAGAACTAGCAAACGAAATTTAAGAATCAATGGCAATCATCTTTGAGAATCCCTAGAGAACAGAAGAAGTTCTAATAAATTGGAAGAAGGTTATCCCCATCTTCAAAAAGGGGGGAAAAGTACCCACTTACAGCCCAGTTAGCCTGGCACTGATACCAGGAATGATTCTGAAGCAGATCATTAAACAGACAATCTGTAAACACTTATAAAAAATGCCAGACTCACAAAAAGTCAACATGGGTTTATCAAAAACAAATAATGCCAGATTAACCTTTTCTCTTTTTTTGACAGTTTACACAGCTTTTACTGGCATACAGCAGCAAAATCACAACACAGGTATATACAACAAGAGGAAGTCACAGATTAAAAAAACATACTTAAAAGTTACTAAACTCAAGGATAAATTTTGCAACAGTCTTACAAAAGAATCTCGGTAGATGAAGAAAATGCTGTGGATGTGGTCTATCTTGAGGCCTTTTACAAAGTTCCCCATGACATTCTCACCAAGAAGCTAATAAAATGTGGGGCATGCAATGCTATTGTGAAGTAGATTGGGAACCAATTGACTGGCTGAACCCAAAGAGTGCACCCCAATGGCTCCTACTTATTCATCCTGGGTGACAGAATGACTGGACGTCAGAGTAGAAGGCATGCTTGTTAAATTTTTGCAGATGATACCATTTGGGGGGGGGGGGTGTAGTTAATACTTAATAAGTTGGAATATGTCCAGAGAAGAGAGACCAAAATGATCAAATGTTTGGAAATCAAGTCATATGAAGAATGGGAGCTGGGTAGCTGGATAAAAGGAAGCATTGATGGCCATTTTTAAATATGTGAAAGGATGACACGTTGAGGAGGGGGAAAGCTTGTTTTCTGCTTCTCTAGAGACCAAGAGATGGAGCAATGGATTCAAACTAAAGGATATAGTGATGCCGAACATGACCCTCCCCCAATAAAAGATAGTTTATAGTCAGGGAATTCATAGTTTTGCCAAGGACACCTGGCTGGATTGATATAATAAAAATTAAATTTTGGCCAATATGCAGAAGGACTAACAACCACAACAGGTTAGATGGCATGTACATTTAATCAAGATTCACGCCCTATATTTCATATTTATAGCAGAAGGTAAGTGCTATATTTACTGGAGTTCACTGTAATGTACTGAAAACCTTGTCACAAAAGGTATTTGACCTTTTAGTCTGGGCCTAGTCTGAGCTTCGCCTGAGGCAAGAACTAACTTGGACTCTGTATATATTTTTGTTTAAACTCTGCTACAATACAAAGGTGTAGGTTTGCTCCTTGGTTGGATGGGGAAAGCTTCCTTGTCTGTCTGTGATTACACATTAATCTTCTTCGCAACACACTGCACATCTCTTATGTGTAGTGCAAAGAAACCATGAAAGAACAATGCAATATTTAACCAATATAAACTTATCAGTATTTCAATGGGAAGTATGAGCCTGCTTTTGGCTAATGAGATACTCAAGTTAATTAGGATTGTTGTTGTGAGTCTTCAAGTTGTTTCATACTTAGGGTGACCTTAAGTCCAAAGTTTATGGTGGGCGCCGGGTTGGAGGGCTGCATCCGACCCACAGGCCTTAGTTTGAGGACCTTTTCAATAAGATGTCTGGGAAAATGTCCTTATCAGAATTTAGCAGACTTGCCACCGAGTGGTAAGTCTGGTACCAGTGGCTCAGTGGGTTAAATCACTGAGCTACTAAACTTTCTGACCGAAAGGTTGCAGATTCAGATCCGGGGAGCAGTGTGAGCTCCTGCTGTTAGCCCCTTCTGCCAACCTAGGAGTTCAAAAACACGCAAAAGTCAGTAGATCAATAGGTACCGCTCCGGCGGTAAGGTAATGGTGCTCGATGCAGTCATGCCAGCCACATGACCTTGGAGGTGTCTACAGACAACGCTGGCTCTTCAGCTTAGAAATGGAGATGAGCACCAACCCCAGAGTTGGACACGACTAGACTTAATGTACCTTTACCTACCGACGAGTGGAATGTCCATGGGCTTAGTAAAACCAGAGTGAGGTAGATGGGATTTAGAATTGCTAGTATTACTGAAGCTCTGAATTTCCCTGTCTAGTGAGCCTGGCAGCGATTAGCTGTAGTCATGACTAAGAGAAAAAACAATTTCAACAACCATGTTCTCTTTTTTTATACAGTACTTGCCAAGTTACACAAAAGCAGAGGGATTTTTTTTTACCATTTGCAAGCCAGGTTATGCAAATCAAATGTTGTTGTTTCTTTTTACTGGGAGTCATTCTTCTTATCCTCCCACATTGTGGGTGTATCCTGTAAGGCTGTTGACCTATATATAACTGCATTCTCCCTGCATGCTGTTTGCAGGAGTTTCATCCATTAGAACTAACCTTTCCCTTCTAAATCTGAGCTGCTAGGGACCCCAAGGAGCAGCAAAACCCTACCAGGGAGAAGGGAGGTGAGTTCATAATGCACAGAGAAAAATTACGGCAGTTAGATGTGTAATGTTACCCCATAGCACCCCAGAGAAATAAAAACATGTAGTTGATAAATGAGGAAGAATGGCAGAGTAGTCTTTATGGAACTGAAAGACACATAGCATTGGAATAGTAGTCAGGAATCTTAACTTACAGCACTGCTTCCTATTTCCTTCAATAAAAGAAATAATCAGAGATTATCACCTTCTGAGTAATACAGACAAGTGCCCACTCACTTGGGACCAGAGCATTGTCAGAAAGTAGACTCGGTTGAAAAGGGGAACCCAGATGTTTTAGTGAATTTTGGTCCCTAAAATGTCAATGACATGCTGCAAATATCATTTTTTAATGTATGATCAAGCGAAAAATGCCTTTACACACATACAACAGTGATTCCCTAGATCTAGGGAAGTAATGCTACCCCTCTATTCTGCTTTGGTTAGACCACACCTGGAATATTGTGTCCAATTCTGGGCACCACAATTGAAGAGAGATATTGAAGCTGGAATGTGTCCAGAGGAGGGTGACTAAAATGATCAAGGGTCTGGAGAACAAGCCCTATGAGGAGCGGCTTAAGGAGCTGGGCATGTTTAGCCTGAAGAAGAGAAGGCTGAGAGGAGATATGATAGCCATGTATAAATATGTGAGAGGAAGCCACAGGGAGGAGGGAACAAGCTTGTTTTCTGCTTCCCTGGAGACTAGGACGCGGAACAATGGCTTCAAACTACAAGAAAGGAGATTCCATCTGAACATGAGGAAGAACTTCCTGATTGTGAGAGCCGTTCAGCAGTGGAACTCTCTGCCCCGGAGTGTGGTGGAGGCTCCTTCTTTGGAAGCTTTTAAACAGAGGCTGGATGGCCATCTGTCAGGGTGATTTGAATGCAATATTCCTGCTTCTTGGCAGGGGTTGGACTGGATGGCCCATGAGGTCTCTTCCAACTCTTTGATTCTATGATTCAAGGAGAGGTCAGTTCTTTCAGTAAGCAAGCCTTGGGATTATACATATGTGCACAAGCAGTTAAGCAGGGACTCTTCCAGACAGGCCTTCTATCCCAGGATCTGATCCCAGGTTTTCTGTTTATCCCAGATTATCTGGCAAAGGAGACTCATATAATCAGGTCTAAAGCAGAAAACCTGGGATCAGACCCTGGGATATAGGGCCTATCTGGAAGTCCTAAGGCAAGAAGAACTGATGAAATAATTGATTGCTCATGAAATTAATGGAACTTGCATGTAATTTGCAAGAGTTCTGACTTTTTTTATGTTGTGTCAGGAGTGACTTGAGAAACTGCAAGTCGTTTCTGGTGTGAGAGAATTGGCCGTCTGCAAGGATGTTGCCCAGGGGATGCCCGGACAATTTGATGGTTTTGTCATCCTTGTGGGAGACTTCTCTCATGTCCCCGCTTGGGGAGCTGGAGCTGACAGAGGGAGCTCATCTGCCTCTCCCCGGATTCGAACCTGCAACCTGTTGGCCTTCAGTCCTGCCGGCACAGGGGTTTAACCCACTGTGTCACCGGGGGCTCCATGAGTTCTGACTGCAGTGTCAGAAAGTGAAGTGTTAAAAAGTGAAGGGAAGATTTCTACAAACTGGATCCTTCTCTAATGAGTTCACATTTTTGAAGATGTGTGGTAAAAAGCTAGGTCAGATCTAATGTGCTTTAAAAGATGCTTTGAATGTTAGATAACATCCAGACGACTTAGGGCCCTTCCACACCGTCCTATATCCCAGGAATCAAGGCAGAAAAATCCCACATTATCTGAGTGTGGACTCAGATAATCCAGTTCAAAGCAGATATTGTGGGATTTTCTGCCTTGATATTCTGGGATATTGGGCTGTGTGGAAAGGCCCTAACGCAGTTGATCTCTTCTTCGGCTGCAACTCATGCAAATAAGAATCCAAAGATGAAAACATTAATATATTTTTGATAATGGCTCCTAGAATTTTCCAGCCAACATGGCCAATGCAACAGGATTTCAGGAACTGTAGTCCAATAAAGTGATATTTGTAAGGTCAGGTAGAATCTTAGGGCCCTTCCACACAACCCTATATCCCAGAATATCAAGGCAAAAAATCCTACAATATCTGCTTTGAACTGGGTTATCTGAGTCCACACTCAGATAATGTGCCATTTTCCGCCTTGCTATTTTGGGGTATAGGGCTGTATGGAAGGGCCCTAAGTCTATGGATTACACATTATGAGGCCAGAGGGAAAACATGGCCCAATGGAGACATAGCATAGTATCTGCTGATATTTATAATAATTGTAAAAAATGGACTGGTGGACATTAAGTGTGGACTCAGATTACCCAGATAACTCAGATAACCCATGCTGTAAACCGACCTGAGTCCCTCGTTGAGGTGAGAAGGCCGGTATAGAAAACTTATAAAATAAAATAAAATAAAATAAAATAAAATAAAAATGGCACTCATGCACATAAGGGCCCTTCCACACAGCCTATATCCCAGAATATCAAGGCAGAAAATCCCACATTATCTGAGTGTGGACTCAGATACCAGTTCAAAGCAGATATTGTGTGATTTTCTGCCTTGATATTCTGGGATATAGGGCTGTGTGGAAGAGCCCTTGGCATCAGCGGATCCAGAAGAGGGAGACTTTCCAGTCACACTTCTTACTTGCAGACTGATTTTATTGTCTGATAACAATAGAATGATTGCATCATAGCACCACAGAATCCATGTTCCTTTCTTTCAGTAAAATAGGTAAACATGGCTTCTTTTTTGGTCACTTTCTATAGCCAGTATGATATAGATGCCCAAATGAGAAAAGAAAAGTATATAATTATTCTTGTCCTCTGCATTTTTTTGTTCTCTTCACCTATAGCTGCTATGCCTCGCCTCCTCCTTTCTGTTTTTGGTCTTCTGTTCCTCTCACTGATTTCTGCCTCTGAAGATGATACTGTGGTGGTGACCAACAGTGGCTCCATTCAAGGCAAGAGAATTCTGGCTGGTCCTGGCCCTGTGACTGCCTATCTTGGCATCCCTTATGCTAAGCCCCCTCTAGGGAAACTCCGGTTCCAGAAGCCTCTTCCACATCCACCCTGGACCCATGTGTTGGAGACCACCAGGTTTGGCAACTCTTGTCCACAAGCAAATGCTTCTGGACTTTTTGATATAGACATATGGGTTGCCAATACACCACTTTCAGAGGACTGTCTTTTCCTCAATGTCTGGGTGCCCCACCCAAAGCCCTCCACCCCAGCACCTATCCTTGTATGGATCCAAGGCATGGGTTATGTCACTGGCACTGCATCCCTGGAGATCTACAATGGAGCCGCCTTAGCTGCCACAGAGGGTGTCATTGTAGCCTCCATGAATTACCGCTTGGGGGCTCTGGGTTTTCTTTACATGCCACCACATGCCCCAGGAAACATTGGCTTATGGGACCAATACCTGGCTCTGAAGTGGCTGAAGGAGAACGTAGCTGTCTTTGGCGGTAACCCAGCTCAATTGACTCTTGTTGGCCACAGTGCTGGAGCAGCCATGGTGGGGTTCCACCTTCTTTCACCAGTAAGCCAACCACTTTTCTCTCATGCTGTGCTCCAGGGTGGCGTTCCCAATGCCATCTGGCCCTGGAAGGACACCCAGAAAGCAAAACTAGATGCAGAGATGGTAAGCCAAGAAGTGGGGTGTCCTCTAGATGCTGACACGGTAAGCTGTCTACAGAGAATAGAAATTGGGGACAAAAAATTTTCTCAACTGACTGCTATCAATTCCTTGACAGTAGATGGAGAATTCCTGCCAGATGAGCCCCCAAAACTCCTAAAGGACACACATTTTCAGGGTAAATCAATTCTCACAGGTATCTTAGCTGATGAAGGATCTACATTTGTACTGTATATGTATCCTGATACCAAATCCAATGGTGGGATAGTGACATGGGATCAGTTTTATCAAGGGGTGATGGGAACAATGGCAAATGTAACAAATGAAGCTGTTGCTCAGGCTGTAGCGCGGAAGTTCAGCGAAAACTATCGTGGGCCAGAGCAGTACCGTTTGGCCTTTGCTCAATATTTTAGAGATTACTTCTTTGTGTGCTCTTTGGATGAATTTGCTACAAAGATCAGAGAAGCTGGGAGGCCGGTCTATGTTTATTCCTTCGATCACCGCTCATCTGGTTCCCCCTGGCCTGAATGGGTAAAGACACCTTATGGGTCTGAGGTACCTTACCTGTTTGGAAGCTTCAAAGCTGCTTTGCCAACAAGCCAGCCGGTCACGGAGGCCGAAAAGACACTGAGCCGTAGAGTGATGCGATATTGGGCCAACTTTGCCAGAAGCGGGTAAGCCATCAACTATTTTGGATCATAACATCATGTTTGATATTGATGAAATTGATAAGGATAAAAAATAATTTAATCTATGTTCCATCTTTTCTCATAAACTCACGAAATGGCTAACAAGCGATTTAAAAACACACCTCAAGTAGCCACTTACAAATATCTAAAACCACAAAGACAACATATCCAATGTCTAAATTACGATTAACTAGACATTATAATTAACATGAACCACTTTTAAAACCCAAAACCCCTCCCATGAGGTCATTCCTTTTGCACCTGGTCCTCTTATCTCTGAGCCGGTGGGAGAAGCGAGTCCTTATTTGCCAGCCCTGTTGGCCCTGTTGACATAGCTCTAATTTCTCTGGCCTCGACAAACGTTCATCTTCCCCAATTTCCTCAGACTGTGCTTCTGGCAAGTTCCCATGGGAATGGCCTTCTTCTCCTCCTGGGAATCAACAGGAGATTCCAAAACATTTCTCGCAGGAGATTCCAAAACATTTCATGCAGAAACTTTCCCATCATCCCCAGCCTCATTTTCTGAACACCCAGAATCTGATCAGTCCACAGTAATGATTGTCAAAGTTGATGAAATTTTTTACAAGGTGTTATAGCATATGATTTTCCATCTACCTTTGTTTTGTAATTGGCCTGGGAAGGTAAACGTTGGCTAAATTTGAAAGTCTGTTTCCTAAGTGTTAGATAACCAAAGGAATCCAACTGGGTGGATCTCTTACAAGATACTGATCCTGACATTTAGAGCTCAAAATGGCCAAGGACCTTTATATCTTAGGGACTGCCTCATTCCTTTTCTCCATCAGTGGTCACCTCGATCCACCCAGGAAAATCTCCTATATATACCAGGCCCTAGGGAGGTACACCTGGAAGCTACAAGGCGTAGAGCTTTTTCAACCTATGCTCCAATTCTGTGGAACTCATTGCCTCCATACATTAGAGCAATGTCGGAGTTGCAACTTTTTGTAAAGGCGCTCAAGACTTGGCTGTTTGGTTGTGCATTTAAGTAATCAGATCTAATTTGCCAAATAGTCACTGTTGAATGTTTTTATGTGGAATGTTTTTATATTGTGTAAATGCTATTTTAGACTGTAAGTCGCTCAGAGCACCTTGGTGGAGAGCGACTAATTAAGAAATAAAGTGAAGTGAAGTGTATGAGGAAATGTGTTAATCACAAAGAATTCTCTTTCTCTTTAAACCATGATTTCTTTTTTGCATTTAAAGAAACCCTACTGGATCAACACCCGGTGAGGTGCAATGGCCACTGTACAATGCCAAGGAGAAGAAGCTCTTTCACATCAGCGTAGGAGCACCCCAGCTCAAGCCAGTCTCACCTACTCCTCTCTGTGATTTCTTGTCTAATCTGAATGTTAATGCAACATTCACAAGTGAGTTCAGTTCCTTTGAGAAAGAGACTTGTGCCCCCCAACGTCTATTGTTATTAGCATTAAGGGCCTTAAATAGAGATTCTCAATTAAAAAGAGTATTGTGAAGGGGCAGTGTGGTATCCTTGTTGTAGAACCACTGAGTTCTGGAAAAAGAATACATGTTTGCCTAATGTACTGTGTATCAATAGAAAATGTTAGGGTGTTTTGGAGTACCACATACAAGAGTACCATACTCAGTAAGGCCAGTAGCCATCCTGGTGGGAGAATTCAGGGAATGTCTGCCTTTATTCTGCATGAAATGCCTGGGTCAGGAGTGACATCATAACCAGATGGACAAATTCATTTTTGGAAGAGTTCTTGAGGGCCACATTTCAGCAGTAGTGGGAGCCAGAGATCAAAGAATAGGATCAAAAACAGCAGAATGTTTTAGTTTAGCATTCTTACTACCAATGATATACCTCTTGCAGGGTGCGTCTACACCCTACCTGGACCACTTGTCAATCTTTATTTAGGTTCTAGCATAGTGCTTTTATTGTTTCTAAGATTTGCACATTGGTGTTTGCTGCAATCAAGATAGAGTTAGGAGTGGTCAAAATCTTTTTCAAGAATAAAGTAAATATTTTTGGCTTATTGGAGACGCCTTCAGTATAAGCATCATGACTTTGATTTTCTTTTTACATATTGCCCCTTGCCCATTTTTAGCAGTGTATGTTTTAAAAGATAAATATTTGATTTGGTTAATTTGCAGATTTTACAGTTCTCGGAGCAAATATTCATAAGTTTAAAGGAATGAAATGAAATGATGCCTATTTTCCCATGTCTCTACAGACCAATAGTTACAATCAAGAAGCAACTGGAAGTAACTGGAAGAATGGACCTATATAGAGATTACACTTCGTTTGGAAAACTCACAGTCTTCAATATACAAAAGGACTGTGTATTAAACATTAATTCAAAGGAAAAAATGCTTATTTACTCTTTTGTTGTTATACAAATTGAAGTGGTACATATATTCAGCAGAGGAACCAGACAAGGGTGCCCTTTGTCTCCGATACTATTTGCTATGGTGATAGAACTGTTTGCTAATAGCATAAGGAATGATAAAAATTTAGAAGGGTTAGGAAAAAAGGAGAAACAGAAGGTGAGCTTATTCGCTGACGATACATTGTTATTTATAGAAAATATAGTGGAGAAAATGGATAGAATAAAAGAACATTTGGAGATATTTGGGAAAGCAACGGGTTTACAAGTTAATTGGAATAAGTCAGAAATGATGCTACTTAATTATACAAGAGAAGAAGAAAAAGATCTTATAGAACAGAGCAAAGGGGGAATAAGAATCAAGAACAAATTAAAATACTTGGGAGTAATAATAACTAAGGATTTAAAAGAGATAGAGGAAGTAAATGTAGTAACATTAAGGAAAGAAGTCCAGAAAAAGTTAATAGAGTACGAAGGTATACGCTTATCCTGGTTTGGAAGAATAGCATTAGTAAAAATGAAAATACTTCCAAAAATAAATTTTATATTTAGGATGCTACCACTTCAAATTACAGAAGAAGAACTAACTAGATGGCAACAAATGATTAATAAATACTGTAATGGAAGTAAAAGAAACAGACTAAATAAACAGTTATGGTACAGATCGCAAAAGGAGGGTGGACTAGCGCTACCTAATATAAAAAAATATTATGAAGCAAGTAGATTAAGTTTGGTTATAGAAGGAATGGTTAAAAAAGAGGGAATAGATTGGCTTAGTAATGATTCAGGAAAAGTGGAAGATGAAACTTGGAATATATTTTTTAAACAGTTTACTAGAAAAGAAATGAGGGAAATTAGAAACCCAATGCTGAGCAACATACTGAAAGTATGGAATAAATATAAGGGGAGGTTAATAAAGGAGGGATCAATTATAACCCCAATAGTGATGGAAAAGAAGTTCCCAAAAAATTTTAAAAAAGTAATGGATAAAAAGGTAAGGGAAATAAATTTAGATAGGATAGGGGATTGGATGAAGGTGGAAATGAAGAGGGAAAGGATGTTGGAAAAGTTTAAAGAAATAAAATTGTCATGGTTTCATTGTATACAATTAGAACAATGGGTAATAAATTGGAAAAAAAATAATAGAAGTGAAAGCCAACTCAGTCAATTCGAACAAATAATACAGAAGGGAAGGGCAGTAGAAGAACATGAAAACTTGAGAGGTATAATTAGCAAAATCTATAAGATACTAATTGAAATGAAGGATGAAAAATAAAAAAGTATACCCTTAAGGAGATTTGGGAAGAGGATTTAGGGATAAAAATAAGTGAAATAGAGTGGCGACAACTATGGGGACAAAGACATTTAAAAAATTTATCGATACGAGTTAAAGAAAATTATTACAAGTTAATATGGAAGTGGTACTTAACACCGGTAAGAATAGCATATATGAATAAAAATAACTCAGTAAATTGTTGGAGAGGGTGTCAAGAACCAGGAACATATATACACATGTGGTGGCAATGTAAATATGTAAATAATTTTTGGGAGAAAGTATTTAGAGAAATAGAAATTATAATGAATATGAAAATAGATAAAAGTCCTAGTATAGCCTTACTATCATTATATACCAATAAGCAATTGAAAAAGGAGGATAAAGAAGCGATAACAAATTTACTAACTATAGCAAGACTGCTCATAGCAAGGAATTGGAAAAAAGAAATGAATATACAAATAGAGGAGTGGTATAAGGAAGCATGGAAATTAGCTTTAAACGATAAACTGACATGTATATTAAAGGTTAAAAAAGGTATATGGAAACAAAGTGATTTTGATGCTGTATGGGGAAGATTTGTGGTAAATGGATTAAAAAATAAGGAAGGAAAATTACCGTCACAAGAAGAAATGAAATTTTGGACAGATGAAATGTAAGAATTGTGGCTTGAGACGGGTGGAGGGGAGCACTGTGGTGATAAAAAAGGAAAAAAAGAGAAGTCAAAGCAAAATAATAAAACAACATGTTAAAGAGGTTGATGTACGAAATGCAATAGTATGTAATAAATGTGATAAATCAATAAAAACTATTTAAAAAAAAACAAAGTAACTGGAAGAATGGACCTATATAGAGATTACACTTCGTTTGGAAAACTCACAGTTTTCAAAATACAAAAGGACTGTGTAATAAACATTAAAAAAAGAAAAAAATCTTTGCTTATTTACTCTTTTGGTGTTATACAAATTGAAGTGGTACATACATTCAGCACAGCCTTCGGGCAAAACAATGTTAGAGTATGACTGTAACTACTATCAAGACAATTTCAAGTCTGGATTTTGCAGCTGAATCCTTTCATTCTATCTATCAATATGTTTTATTTATATCCTGCCCCTCTCCCAGAAAGGACTCAGGGCAGCCTATCTATCTATCTATCTATCTATCTATCTATCTATCTATCTATCTATCTATCTATCTATCTATCTATCTATCTATCGGCTACCACTCATGGTGGAGTATGATTGCCTTCCAAGTGTAGGATCTTGGTGGTGGGTCCGTAGGTGACTGTAGAGACCTATTCTTGATCCACATGTTCTTTCACAGTGAAGACATCGATTTCCAGGGTTGGCTTGATGTGCCTTCCTCTTAAGATGTTTCTTCCTTTCGTCCCCCATTCGTCCCTCTTCACATTCCATAGCACTGTTCGTAACAGCTGACCTCCAGTTAAAATGCTCGAGGCTTCCCATTCTCGGTGTCTATGCCACAGTTTTTAAGATTAGCTTTAAGCCTATCTTTAAATCTCTTTTCCTATCCAACAACATTCTCTATTTTGCGGAATAGTGATTGGGCACTTGGACAATGTCCAGCAAAGTTGATAGCTGAGGAGCATCGCTTCAGTGTTGGTGGTCTTTGCCTCTTCCCGAACGCTGGCATTTGTCTGCCTGTCTTCCTAATCACCTCATCACAAAGGGCTAAAATTGGCAGCATGTGCCCATTTTAGGCCAGGTCACCCACAGAGCCAGCCAGTTCCCATCACATGAGGCCATGCTAGCTCCATGGGTGAAGGAGCCACCAGGGTAACACAGCAGAGCTCCCGTGTTGTCATAGAATGCATGGTGTAAAGGAATTATCTTGTTTAAAACACACACACTCACACTCAGGGCACCCCCCCCCCCCCAAAAAAAAATCTTCAGGCATGGAGAATCCCTTTCTTTGGTCATTTGACCACTGTCACCAGAATGTAACAGTATTCATTTTTAAACACGAGGCAGAGGAAACAGTTCCTTAGAGGAACTGAGGATTGATTAGGTACCACCAAAATTAGAAAGGATTCTTTGAGGTTTAACTGATTTATGCTGAAGAAAACTAGAGTAGGCTGAATTCGAACTCGGGGCACAGAGCACCGAGGGTATAAACACCAAAGTCTTTCAAGTAGTGCTGCCACCAATGTTAAAACACTACTCCAGGCAAATAGAAATGAAGCCATTCACACCTATTAACTTGAACCCTACCCACAATCCTTTTCTCTAATCACCCACAAGAGGCAGACCAAGACACAGTCACAAAATTTCAAAGTGAGAAATAATAGTTTATTAAATTTCCCACCAAACCCGGCAACCAATTGGTGACTGGCGGTTGGCTGGCTGACATGCAGCAGACGGAGCATCTCAACCAATCAGCATTCGAAACATAGCTGTCCCTGACCTGAGCCATTCAGAATTTGGAGTTGCGAAAGTCCTTTGTTGCGAACTGCTCTAAAATGCCTGTAAACGCTTCCATAAGTTTTCAAGGTGGCATGTCAGTTTTTGAGAGTGTAGGCTCTGTTGGCATCCACTTTGCTAAAGTGAATAAAGCCTCGACTCTTTTGCCTTCAACCTGTCCTGGGTCTCATTCAAACCTTGGAGCTAGACATGCCAGAGTCTGAAACCACAATTTTAGTGGAGCTGTAATCACATACAATTTTTTTTAAAGAAGTCTTTAACACGATAACAGAATGGCAGTAAGTCAGTGAGATAATTACTAACATTTTAATATGGAGAAACAGGAACAGGTACATAGCTCCAGACAGCTTAGCAGGGTAGAATAACATATCCTTTCATATCAGCAGTTCCGCTGACAGAAGTAGATGAAGGAGGAGGATCCACTGCAGGTCTCTGCATTTTTCAACCGTTCTCTCAGATGCAGAAAATCGCATTCAAACCTCCCCTGACAGATGGTCATCCAGCCTCTGTTTAAAAGCTTCCAAAGAAGGACCCTCCACCACACTCCTGGGCAGAGAGTACCTCTTCTTGGATGCTCTCCTTGCTGTGCACCACACAAGGTCCTCCCTCCTTAGTCTGCAACATGACCAACAACAAAAACAAATGCCCAGTCTACTTTAGAGAGTGAGTGACAGAAGTGACGACCTCACCTAAGCCTGATCGTATTCTTCCCCTGATGGTCCATGGGATGCCTCCTCTGTCCTGGAAACCATCAGACCATGCCAATCCCTGCTGGTGGCCCAGAATTTGGGAGGCTTCTCTTCCATTTTGGGGGACATTCTTGGGAGAAACAACCAGCAGTTCCGAAGTACCAGAATAAGCTCAACCACTGCCAATGCGCCTTCTCCGTTGCATCAATCTTGGTCTAAACAGTACCCAATTACATGAGTTCCCCCATGTCTGCTACCTGTGGTTGGACTGGGGCGCCATGCCATGCCACACACTCTGCAGCTCCCTTCTGCCAATTTAGGATCACACCACCCAGCCAAAGGCATAGGGCGATCAGCTCTTCCAAAGAGGTCATGGCTGGTACCTGGGCAATCTCCTCCTGCAGCTCCAAATTTAGAACCATAGCAAATCGACTCCACAAAGCAGAATCATTCCAATCCAATTGCTGAAACAATACTCTGAAATCAGCAATAAAGCAGATGTGTGCTGGAACAGTTCACACAGGGGGGAGGGAAGGAAGTCACTTATTTTTCACAAGAGCAGAGATATACAATGATGCGAA